TATATATAGAGAGAGAGAGTAGACATCAAAATAATGATGAGCTGCACATATGTTCCAAATAAGTTCCTCATGACTTCTTCAGCGTTTCATTAACGCTGAAGAAGTCATGAGGACAGGACGAAATATTCGTTTTTCTATTAAATAATATATATTTTATGTTCTGTTACACGTCAACCTCTGTCATTTAATTTCGTACGTGACTCGCATGTTTTATATATATATGTATATATATAAGACTTATTTAACTACAGTAAACAATAACAGGAAATAAAACATAGTAAGGTTAATAAGGTCCTATATAATTAAAACAATTGTGGAATAGAAAATAAATAGCAGAAATATAATGTATATGTATGAGTTTAAATAATATAATCTTAGCATTAAGCTGGTTCAATGGCACCGCCAATAAACTATCGCTTGCATAATCATTTTGCCGACACCTTATCTGGTTTAATTGTACAGTAATTAATTCGCCCATTAACTTGTCACTGAACTTATATTTTGTGGTCCAATCAACTAATTGTATTGATAACTTGATTCTGATTGGTTTATTATTATTTATGTATATGTAAGATCTCCCAAGTTTTCACACTTTAACGTTGATGAAGATATCAGGAGCTATCGAAATATCCGTTTGATTTTGTTATAGCTTAATAAATTTGTGTTCCGCAAGTCAACTTTCAATGATTGTACACCGTTTTTTCATTGCTTTTGCATTATATATATATATATACATATATATATATGTATATATATACATATATATATATATATATATATATATATATAAATATTCAGTTCAATTTAAATTATAAAGATGGGCACCCACAGTGTCGTACGACGTTGGCCGATCAATTCATGTGACGCCATCTGCTGATTTGTATGTAGCCGCTGTCTGAAGGGATAGTCATTAAAACACGATACCGGTACGTTGCGCGTTGTGTTGTCTGACGTCGTCCGACGACCAGCCGCAGTTTGAGTTTAGTTTCCTAAGTAATTAAGTAACGTAACGTCAGAATTTCTTACGATTCAGTCAGAGGCGTAACGAAGGGGTCGGACGCCCCTGGGCAGGGGCCCTGGCGCTGAGTGCCAGGGGTCGCGAAGAATATTCAAATGTGCTGGGGGCCCCTTGAGGCTCCGGGCCCCCGGTTTAGCCAGTGAGAGCTGATAGTCGTTACACTACACTGCATTCAGTCAATTCTTATGACTTCTACGCAAAGTTAAAACGATCTGCCACTCGAGCACCTCGTCCCGTCGTTTTTAATGAAATTTTGTGGGCCGATCTTTCCCCGGCGCTGTGAGTAGATGGGTTTTGGCGGTTTTGTGAAGAAGGTTGTGGTGGATTTATAAAAGTAGGTGTCGTGTGGTTTGGTGTATACGTGGTTGCTGGTTTGTGAAGGGTCGTCTGGTTGGTCGGTCAGTCAATTAATTATTATGTGATGTGCGACATTTTAATTTTTAAATTTTTTTCAGAGTTTAAGGACATCTATGTTGTATTATCCTAAAAACCCACAACCGAACAAAGGCCCAATAGGTTTTCGTGACGAACGATACAAAATCCATGATATCGAATGCAAGAAAGTCTGTTCAAGAATAATGGCGAAACGGTATGTGATGACTCTTCGGCAAACTCGTTTCCTCGTTTCCTATATTCATATATTATTTATCGATTATGTGATGTGCGACATTTTAATTTTTAAATTTTTTTCAAAGTTTAAGGACATCTATGTTGTATTATCCTAAAAACCCACAACCGAACAAAGGCCCAATAGGTTTTCGTGACGAACGATACAAAATCCATGATATCGAATGCAAGAAAGTCTGTTCAAGAATAATGGCGAAACGGTATGTGATGACTCTTCGGCAAACTCGTTTCCTCGTTTCCTATATTCATATATTATTTATCGATACTGTTATAACGGAGAAACGTTCCATAGTGTGGGTGACCACCATCGCGGTCTGTATCTTGTTTTTTGGAAATTTTTCACCACATTGAAGCCATTTCAGATACCCTATTTGTGTAGATACCGTATTTAGGTGGTAGTGCTTTAAAGAAGCTAAGTTAAATTTAGTGCCAGGACCGTTTTACCACTCGTCAATGGTCTAGAAAATCATATTTGCGTGGATCCAGATAACACTGTAGATAGTATCGAATACACAATCTTTCGCAGGATTTAAATTTTTCCTTAATTTATTTTTTTTAACGTGTATTGCTTTAACATCCTAATTGTCTCGTCTCCTTTCTTGGAGGTGTAATGTTAGTTCGCTTACTCTCACGATACTCTACTACTAAATGTGGTTCTTTTTCTCAAAGACGATGCTCGTGTGATTGGTACTTTCCTACTTATCAGGTCCAATGACTGACGATGCACGTCTTAAACTCAGATGGTGGACCTTTCCTACCATTCGACATTATTTCTACCCCTCCTGTTATACTCTTACATTTTTGGAGTCCTTAGGAAGTCGGCTTCACCAACCAGAACCAGAACCAAAACCATCACCCGTAAGAACCACACAGCAACCATTTTATATCACGGCAACATATTGGTCTATTAGTTGCAATTGTGAGTAATTGTAGAGTATAGACTTATAATTTGTAGAATTTACATTTCGGTATCTCCACAACCAGTGTCCGTATTTAATACCGGACTCAAATTATTTAGATACGTGTTTGTATTCAAGGATAACATCCCAAAATGTCCCGATCATATGTTTAATTATGAAATTTAGGGATGATGGATGGTTCCCAAACTTAGAGATACAATGGACAACGCCGATATTTATCTAATTTATAAAATAATGATTGTATCAATAAAGTATTAAAAAGCACATTACGACATTCACTGCGTAACAATCAATAAAGTCTTTACGTATGTTACGATAACTTCGAATTACGAACTGAAAAAAACATCATTAACTAACTGTTTGATGGGCCGAGTGGCGTGGTTCCTATTGGATTATGTTCTTGTGGAGTGAATATAGACTTAAGACACGGCAGAGTCTTTCGCACTCCCACTTTAAAGTCATTATATTTAAACGTGTATATTATGGGATTTATACAGATGTTGCACAGAGACATGGCTACTACGGTGTAATAAACTGGTTCGTTGATATCGAGACCTCCACCCAATGTAAAGTTGACAAAAGCGATTTGGTTTGGTGTCCAGCAGATCACATATGTCACACTAACTATTACCATTGTCTTAATGATGTTCATTCTTCTAGCCGCACTGCTCGCAGACACTGCAGACGAACCATCTCCAACTCGATTTCGAAGAGCACGTAAAATTGTTAAGTAAACAATCAACATTACACTGACAGGAATAACAAGGATGTAAACCCCAGTCATTAAACCAAACGCCTTCTGATACTCAACACTTGGCCAAATCTGTATACACACTCCATCACTTACGGTGTGTATCGCTGACCAGAAGCCGAGGAAAGCGAAACCACATGTCCATGGAATCACCAAAAGCAATACTTTTATCCAGATCTTTTCCTTAATTATGTTGTATTTTACGGCAAACATTACGGCAAAGTAACGATCAAAAGTAAGTACCACAAGATTAGCCGTTGAGGAATATGTACATGACCAGAAAATGTACTTGCTTGACCAGAACTTGCAAACGAATTCTGCTGCAGCATTTGATTCCGGGAGTCGGGTCATTACGTCAGCATCTAGAAAAAGACAAAGTGCCATCAAAGATGACAACAAATCGATAATACACTGATTTAAAATCAGAAGATTTGTTGTACTAAACCTATTCTGCAAGTGAAGTAGAATAAATATCGCAAAACCATTTGTTGAACACCCGACCGCACCGACGGTACTGTAGATAACTTTTGTTGTGTCCATAATGATAGACTTGGGTAAAATAGGTCTTCTAGTAGTTTACAATTACCAGATTCTAAACACAGCTGAGAGAAAATGCCAGTCTGCTATAGTGACTTCTCCTTTTATAAGAATTCAATCAAAAAAACTAAAACGTTCACGAGATAATTTATTTAGAGAGAGCGGTCCAATCGTTAAGTAAAAATATCGGTTGTCATAACCTTGTCGCAAGTGGCAATTACGCTTGTTCTTTAAACTGAGTCAGTATTTGTTTTGAAATTGTATAAATAAACACAGTAATGGATAGATGCATATCTATCATTATATGTCAACCGATTATTCCTAATTGCAACCATAAATGCATTATTTGATATTAGTTTTAAAGTTAAATTGGATGGACTAAAAATTGTCCTTCAGAAATGCATTCGGCCATTACAATGGACAACGCCGATATTTATCTGATTTATAAAAATTTGAAATTGTATAAATAAACACAGTAATAAATAGATGCATACCTATCATTATATGTCAACCGATTATTCCTAATTGCAACCATAAATGCATTATTTGATATTAGTTTTAAAGTTAAATTGGATGGACTAAAAATTGTCCTTCAGAAATGCATTCGGCCATTATTGTACTATAGATTCGATAAATTATTGAGATACAGTAAGTGGTTGATTTTTTAAAAAGTATACATATACTTTATTTTACGAAATTTGAACAAAATCATAGATAATTTTAAACAACAAACCAGATAAGAATCGTAGTTTAAAGCTAAACAAGCAAGATAAAATAATTGTAGGATAAAAAGTATCGATAAACCACAAGATAACATTAAATATGCCATACAACCTCCAATAGAAGCCCTGGGGTTTACTTTTCAGGACCCTGGATGGCGTTCTTTTTCTAGATGGACCTCTTTCCAGATGGGCTCCTTTTACAGATTACGGTACGGTACCTTTGCAAACTAAAGAGGAGGGCTTCTTTTCAAAATAAGTGCTGTAAATTTTGAAATTGCTAGTATATGACATTGTTCAAATATGAAATTCGAAATTCAACATTTTAGCCAAGCTAGTACAATAAAATAATATTGATAGTGACACGCTATCTGTCTTCAGTAGAGCTAGTTTCCTCTTTAGTTCAACAACTTAACTGGGATACTACTTAATCCAGCAAGCAACCATAATGTTTATAATTCATTTAATCCAACACCTCTCCACCGTCATGCATCCAGGGAGCTACATATATTTTATCTAACAAACGTCCACTGAAATACATAGGCCTAAATCTCAATGTACCAACTACAAATCAAGTTTGACTTTTATCCAAGAGCACTGGCCATATGGAACCGACTACCTCTTGAAGCAGTCTTGCATATTACTCCATCAGTACCACACTTCTTGATTTTTGCTGCTCCAGCCATCAGAGGTATAACTCCTCTGTATGGCAGTGAAGTCCTGTAACAAGGAAATTGATGCTGTATATAGTGCGCCTTAAGGTTTATTGATTTTCATTTTCAAGCACTTTATTAATTTTTGTCTGACTGGCTGCATACATGACTAACAAAAATAACAAAATAAAGACTTCTCCCGATTTTTCTGCTAGTATGCTAAGTGATAGGTCACATTGTTTCGTCCCTGACAAAGTAGACACGTACCTGTTTGAATTTATTTTTGGCCCATATTTCGGCTTATGAATGGAAATGGAAAATACGTTTCTTAAAATAATTCATAACCCATAATGGATAATGTTTCAAGTGATTTCTATTATTTTAGCAGATTAAGAGGATATTGATTTTAATTATTCTTCACCATAAGTTATGAAAATTCAGGGCGCTTGGTACCGTATTATTCAAGCACTCTATAATAATTTTGCTATAGGAATTGATAGAGTAATGTTAAAAAACATTTAGAATACAATAACAAACATGATTAAGAAACAAGCACATTTAAAATCCCACAATGGAATTAGCGACCGGGATCCAAAAAAGTGCCCCCGATCTCAGAAAGCCACAGGGCTTTGTTGCAAAATGTCCTGAAGTGGATATTATTTCTAATTCTTTAAATATGTATAATGTTTAAACCAGGGGACAGTGTAATTTCACTGTTCCCTGATTTAAATGTAATCATATTTCACGTTAGTGTGTGTTCTGAGTGTAATTTGTAAATATTCTGAGTAGGCCTATAATTTTAATTTATATATATATCGAGCTTTATTATATATATCGAGCTTTTATTTTATATATATATATATATTAATTATGACAATAATAATAATAGATTTTTTAAAACGTTGTTTTTATTTTTAAAACTTGTGATACTATATTTTTGATGTTTTTTTTTTGTTTTTGCAATTTTCGCCTTTAAGTGGGAACAAAGCGTTCCTGTTGGACGATTGTTTGAATGGAAAAAATGTATAGGCCTAGGCCTATATAAATTAAAATATATATATAGCCTATGTGTGTGTATACATGTATATATTAAATATATGTATACAGTATATGAAATAAAATACTGTGTATCGGTTATAATTATTCCGATACGTACAATTTTTACTAAAAAACCATAAAGTTTGTAGGGATAGTAAAACCCCTTATTATAAGGGGACACTTCGGGACTCAAAAAATGACATAGGCATTCTTTATAAATGTTATTTCAATTGACCTTAGAATGACTTACAGTTGCCATTATAATTGATAACAATAATTTGAAATGCAAAATGAATAATTCGTTTATGATATGAAATCAACAGATTGAAATATCGAGCTTTATTGGATGCACAAGATATAATACTACGAATAGAGTAATGAATTAGAAATCAGGGTGCAGGCTGTATTCCCATATAAAAATACAATAAATCCCCATTGTTAATGGTGAAATTTACAAGATTGTTTATCGAAGTAGGCCTACAGCAACACATGAAATTATTATAATATAATACAAATGCCCATTCTAAAGATTGAGAGGGAAAAAATCTGGTTTGATGTTAAATTTATTACTCAAAAGGTGTCAAAATATATTTAGATGATTTCTTCTTATTTTGTTACTACTGTACTAGTTGTTTTGATACAATAAAAAAATAAATGTCCTCTTTATAGGGGTTAAATTATTGGTTTGACTTGTGCACGTCACACTCAGAAAGTGTCCCACTGGCTGGGATCAAACAGCGCCTCCAATGAGAATTTCACTTTGAGTTCGAGATAAGGCGCCGTTTGGACGTCCACACAATCTACAAAAAAAAGGGATAAATTTTGTTCGAGGTTGGTGTTAGTTGGCCTACTTTGTATTCTGTCATCATTGCAAAGGTATGTATGTTTGTTAGGGTTGCTTGTCTATATTAAATTTAATTATATCAAAGTATTCAAGTTCTTTTGCTAATAGGGGCCTGAAGTCTAGCGTAGGCGCTATGTTTCCTTACTAAGTCTAGCCTAGTGTGAGAGGACCAGCCAGGATAGCAAGGGTGGGTAGGCCTAGACCTAGCTAGGTAGGCTGGCTAGGCCTAACTGGTTATCTTAGGCTTAACTATAATATGACCAACGTATGCCTGTCTCTAAAAGTCTACCTACCTGGCTTTTCTTTAGCCGTACTTGTAGTGTTTAGTCAGTAAGATACAAAAATACAACAGTTTTAGTTTTAAAATCGTCAATTGTTGAGACTGGCTTGTTGTATTGTAATCTACATACATAGAGTATAGGCCCTGGCTAGGCCTTGCCTAGAGTGATCCCGACTTAGACTGGATTGCATAATAGATTAAAAAAATTTTTTTTTGTTATAATTTGAATTTGGCCTCTAGGCCTATTTTTTGGGATGTGTTTGGATTGGAATTATGTATGTCAATAAAATATATGTGTAATTATATGTTGTACAGTACTTAACTTCATTACAGGTTGACACAATGACTTCGGTTCATTTACCATTTTGTGCTGAAAACTGCAACATAGAGCATTGCCCTCTATTGATCAGTGTGCTGAATACACACCGGCAGAATATGACGGAGCTGTCGCTGTGCATCCAGAGTTATAAAACAAGTGGATGGAAAATGTCGGACAATGTACCAGATCCCTGCAAAGACTTTCAGTACCCTCTTCTTCACTGGGCTTGTGCTTTAGGTTTGTCAACATTTTTTTACATAATCGTTTAGATAATTTTGTATTATTAGTTCTTATTATATTAATTTAATTTTTGGAAAATAGTCATTTTTATTTGTAAAAAAACTAATTCTTTTTTAAATATTGTTTTATATCTTTCGCACAATGATCATCAATTTTATTTGTAAAGAAAAAATATTTAAAATTACATTTATTTATAAGTTCTTTTGTATGCAATTCAGTGTTAAAAAAACATCAGTTTTTCTTTTGAAAACAAGGTTGTCCTTGATCATCAGGTTAATTCCTTCCTTGGCAAATTTTCTTTTTTACAAATGCTAAGTTATATCTTCACTTTATACTAATAGTATCATTAATTTTAACCAATTCCTTAATTTGGTATCTTTTTAGGTAAATTTTCGATGGTCAAGTGGTTGGTTAGGGAAGGTTTTGACCCAAACCTACAGACTGAAGCTGGTGACACTGCTATTCATAGAGCCATTATCAGCCTACGAACACGTGTCACTAAGCTAACAGTACGAGGCCTAGACTCTGTGGTTGATTTGTTGAGCGATAACTTATCACTTCGTAATGTGAAGCGAGAAACGCCGATGCTTCAGCTTGCCCATATGTTAATTAAGAAAGAGATATCGGTGGATTACTTTTCTCTTTGGATGATCTGTTGTACTGATGCAATTGTAAACCTACCTCCAGGTATTGTGTTTAGGTATATTTCATATGTTAATAATATTTATACGCAAGGAAATACTATGACACTGGGGCATAGCAATTATAATGCATAGGGAGTGACTGTTATGTAGTCAAGAGATCTTGAGTCAAAGGTTTTTTTTTATAACCCAGTGTACAGTATACCGCTCTACTGGAGATCCCCACTGGATAAAAGTCTTCAAATTTCTGTGGGTTAGAAGTGCATTTGACACCAAAGTATTCCAAATCCTAATAAGGAACTTGCATTCGTTTTTCAGTTATGGAACTTATATTGTTTATCAGTTCCTTGCCTAATAAATATTATACAAAGGCCCCAGGGAAGATAGGCTATGGTCTCCACATCACTGAGGGGCTGGATTTTACTGTTCCCTGAATCTAGAGCAGTCAATATTTGTTTTATGTACCTCATACACAGATTCTAGGAGACTTAAAAAAATAATAAAAATAGTTCACAGCAAGTAGGCCCAAGCTTACTTCCTAGGCCTAGGCGATCAAAGGGCTAATCTCTGTCAGCATGGTAGAGGTCACATCTCCTTCACTTTTGTGTGACATAAATTAATAGCAACGCGGCCTAGAGGTTGAACATCGTGCGGCAGGACAAAAAACTATTATCCCATAGTAATAGTACTGTATTTTATATTGCCCGCTTCTTAACCATTCGGATGCATAGAATCTATGTATGCGGCATATAAATAGATAAAATTGAAGATATAATTTTTCATAATAAGAATATTATTGTATTTCTCTGTATAGAAAAACGGGCAGCAGTGACTGACGCACAGGACCATGATGGTAACACTGTGGTGCACTTAATGGTCAAACAACTCGGTATTCTGCCTTCGATCAGGAGAATGGTGAATGCAAAAGCAAATCTACAAATAAGGTTTAATATCTCTTTATTTAGTTATAAATACGAGTTGACATCTGTTTTTTCACACAGAACTGACATGACTGTAGGCTATCTAGCCCAAAAGCTAAATGAATCTTTTACTTCCTTAATTTGTAATCAAATGTACTGTACTTGCCTTTTTATGTGTAATATAAAAGAATAAATCTTTTCAACTAGACTGTAATATAATAATATTCACATACAGTAATACTTAATCTTCATCAGTTCAATACCTTTCTTTATGTTCATTTAGAGTACAAGTGGAGAATATACAAATTTTAACCACTGAGCTAGTCTATTTCCTTAAATTGTTGTGAATCTGCTATATACATATATGTTTTATTTTTTTTAAAGAAATAAGTGGGGCCAGACTGCAATGGATATTGCAAGAAATAACAAATCAGAAGACTATGTTCAGCATCTGACGTTAGTGAGTGGTCTTCGGTGGCCAGGATTGGCCAGTAAAGGTGACACAAGCCTTGTACGGAGCTCTCCACGTTTGCAATTGACTGCACCAACTTGCCAGTCCTCAGAGACTATAAAATCAAAAAGTATGGCTGTTGCAGTCAGTTCGCCAAGAAAGAGGTGAGCTATTATTTGAGTTATGATAAGATAAAACAGACATGATAACAGATGATACAGACATGATAATAGATGATAAAGACATGATAATAGATGATACAGAGTTGATAATAGATACATATACTGTACAGACATATGATAATAGATGATACAGAGTTGATAATAGATACATATACAGACATGATAATAGATGATACAGAGTTGATAATAGATACATATACAGACATGATAATAGATGATACAGAGTTGATAATAGATACATAACATGATAATAGATGATACACAGTTGATAATAGATACATAACATGATAATAGATGATACACAGTTGATAATAGATACATAACATGATAATAGATGATACACAGTTGATAATAGATACATATACAGACATTCCTACTTATCTCAGGTAGTGGACCTGAGTTTCATAATCTTTTTACTGTATTTATCTGGAAACATTTGTATGGATATTGTTATCTTTCTTTAAATGCTTAAACTGAAAAATATCATGTTTAATGAGCCAGTATCTAAACATAAACTTAAATATTCCACATGATTGCATATTGAATTGTCCACAGGCTGAACAGTACTGAAGATGTTGCATCACCAAGCACTGTACATCCTGCTGCAACAAAACGAGGAAGGAAAAGCTCTCCACATCGCCGGGTCACATTTGATGTCTTGCAGGCACACATAACTGGACCCACTCCATTGGAGTAAGTTTAACCCATACCTGTTACCAGCTCAACTTTATCTTCAAAAAATGACAGATTGTCTTAGCTTGTTCACTTCCTGAATACAATACTTAAATGAACAGACATAAGAGTTATAAATAATAATAATAATAATAATACTCCTGGGTGGATAGAAGCAATGCAGATATAGTGCCTTGCCCAAGGACACAAGTGAAATGCACAGCGAGGGATTGGGAAACAAAACCATTCCCACTGTGCCAAACCACCTCCACATAATGCCCAAGACTGGCATATATTATAAATACATTCATAAAGAACTAACAAGTTTAACATCAGTGTCTAAAAATAGAACTACTTGATCGAATCAACGAATGCTGGTTTCCATTTTCACAAACACATTAATTATTCATTTGCATCCTAATGCAACTTAACAATAACTGGTGTTTATAATTCATGAGGGGAATCTGCAGTGCTATAAAAATTTGTATTTGTAATAATGTTTTATTGCCTTGTTCCGCAACCTTTTTAGTCCAAGTGGCAGGCAGTCAACCACGACCCATTGGTCCCAGGCCAATTTTATCACCAACATGTTACAGCAAAATTATTGAATATTTTTTTTATTCTTATTTATTTTAATAATGTTTTTAATCTGAAGAGAAGCAAGGAGTAGCTTTCCTGAGGGCCCTTCAGTCAACGATGTTGAACCCTGTATCAAGTGTGAATTTGAGGAAGAAGAAAAGCAGGAGGAAGATGCCACAAGTGGCACAGAGAGTAGCAGCTACACTAATGATGCAATGTACAGTCCTGATGTATGTAAGTGTAACAGAATGATCATTAATAATGATGAGATTTATCACTATTCATTTACTTGTCTAAAATCATGTAGAGAAAAGCATCTGGACGATGGCCAGTTAAGCACAAAAACCAGTTGATAAGGTTTGCTTCCATCAGTGAATTAAAAGTACAAAATGTATGTATGAAAACTATAACCAGTTAGACTTCAGTCAAAATGGAGTCGGCTCTGAACACAAACAGAAAAAGGGATAGACAATTATCACTAATGAGTTAAATGTGCTACATACCAGGCACAACCAATATCATCATATAGAGCACATGTTGAACATAGACTCACTCAGTATTCAGTATATTGTCATTTGTAAAAAAAATCATTGTTTTACATAGAAATACAATTGCAATGGTCCGCTCATAAATAACAGAAATATAACTAGGTGAAAATTTAAATATGTGCCAATCACAAAAGATAATTTCTAGTCAAAGACCCAGTCCATTGTTAAAAAAACTGTATTCTTTGATTTTTGATTTGTTTTTGTTTTTTCTTATAGCAACATCAGAATCAAGCGGTTTCTTTGAGTATCTGAAAATTAGCCCAGGATTTAAAAAGGAAATTATTGACAAGTTAGAACATGATAAGCAACAATTTCAGGCCATTATTAACCAAGAGGAAACAATAAGACTGGGTAAGCTATAAATAACTATTCAAGAATTTTAGATAGTCTTTGCTAAATTGTTTAGAATCCCCAGAAACTGGCAAAGTACGGTAGAACCCCTCATTTACAAACCCTGATTTTACGAATTCCCAATTTTACAAACGTAAAATCATGTCATTGTTGTCATAATTAAAGTTCCTATTTCATGTACAAAACACACGGCGTATAAAGAATCAATCGTTAGGCGCGTGCTGGGGTTTACTCACTCGGTCTTAGACGGTTTACTGTACACTATCAGCGATCTCTACTACAATACAAAATGCAGATAGTGCGCTTTGAATACACCGACATTCAACACGGTGATCATACTTCATGTCTGCAGCCGTGAGAAAACTCCGTCCAATGCATAAGTTGTCGGCATATCGATAGGCGCATGATTTATTCATCTCTGAATACACCACCTTTATATCGTAATTTAATGAACCCCCTAATTATGAATGGATTTTATTTATCAAATCTAACTAACGTTAATCTACCATTTCATTATTTCCCCCATAAAATAAGACACTGACACCCACATTTTCTTTTTAACTTTATTATTCATTACATAAATGTTAATGTAGGTGTTGAACAATCGTATTGTATACAAAAAAACAAAAGTCCAAGAGTCTACAGCCAATCAGCGCTCTTCGAGTGAAAAACGTTGCGTTACTCGCCCTGTTGCAGCGCCCGCGGGTTGTGTTTATCCGTAAGCTAGAGGATAAGTTACAGTATATATTATTGCCTGAGAAAGAGAGAATGAAGTTTGTATACACATTAACAAGTACAGTATGCATAGCACTGTACATTATTATGATCTTTATTTTGAATTTCTTTTGAGAGCAAGTTGGAGTTTTGGCTCCAATCCCACAAAATGTCAGTCCAGGCCTAGCCTAGCCCAGCCCAGGCTAGCATATTGGTAGTGTAAATACATAGGAATTTCACACAACCCCGATTTTACGTACGAATGATTTTACAAACGCCTCTGTGCCTGCTCCGTACGTAAATGAGGGGTTCTACTGTATTGTCATTTTTGCCATCAGCAGCATTTTGGTATATCCTTTAAGTTAACCTTTATTTTTCTTTGCAGAATCTAGCCTAGAGTATATATTTTGATTAATGTTAAACCAATTTATTTTGTTTTGCTGTCTAGTTGAACAAACTGAGCTGAAGCAGTTACTTGCAGAGACAAAATCTTCCGATGAAAAGATTGTGGCATTATTGAGCCAAGTTGAAGTAAGTACACACATTTATTTTGTTCTTTTGACTAATAATAATGCTTAAATTTGCAGACATTCCATATTGTTATGTTCAAGTGTGCAGTACATTATTAACCCTGAGTAATTGACCAACATACTTCAGAAGGATTGGAGCTTGGTTGTTAATTTACTTGCCTTCCAGCCCTTGGGTCACGATAACAGGAATTTTTTTAAATATAAAAACTAATAGACAGTTTTCGCCGCATGGCGTAAACCTTAACATTAACAGATGACGTCATAATTTATTCATCTTGCGTTGTGGAGTACGTTAATTTCAGGATTTTACGCACTCGATGTACGTTAGTTACGGGTTTGCGCATGCATATTTTGATTTGTTTACAAAAGGGGCGGGCTATCGCGCTGCATGTTGGGTACTAACGTTAAAGTTATGGTTAACGTCGTGCGGCGAAAACTAGCTAATAACAACTCTACACCCTAAGCCTCATAATGAGAGCATCTTGTGTGTTTAGTCAGTGAATGAATTGCCACTTTTTTCTGATTTAGTTTATTCTTTGGCATATACTTGGTCCTTTACCTAAAGCTATAGCTTCTATAGTTGGAGCCGTAATCAGTGCAGTAGCATGTGACCAAACCAGTTAGCCGTCCTTAGTCCTTAGTGGAGAAGCAATGCAGATAAAGTGCTCCATAATGCATTTCATTTCTAAAATTCTATTTTGCTAAATCAACATTATCTTCAATTTTTCTTCTTTTTTTTTGCAGAAATTGCAGAGTAGAAACACGGAAGTACAAAAGAAAATCAATAAACTAAACCAAAATGCAAGTGAACGGTTAGAAAGAGTTAACAAGATTAAGAATAAACTGTTAGTATGTATGAAAACAGTAAAGGAACTAGAACAAGACAATGGAAAGAGTTGAAGATGTCACAGTGGAGCCAAAGAATTTGAACTAGACACTCGGCGGAAACACTACTGTGTATGCATGATCAGAAAGCATTATTTTGCGATCAGAGATTGAGCATGAATCCAACATGTGATGAAAGTGAGTTAATGTTTTATCTAGGAGAAAATGAAAATGGTACTTGCTCTGAAAATTTGAGGAAGGGTTTTGCAGCAATTAAAAATGAAATCCTACAAAATGTTGTTGCTGTAACACTGTAAATCAGCCTTTACACATATTTGTTGTTTATCAATAATGCTCCTATATTTATATCATTGTCATCATTAGTTAACTCTCCTATTTATTTTTGTTTCTGATTTAACCATTGTTTTTGTGTTTATGCACAGTATAAAAGTGCTAATGCACTAGCAATATAGTCACAATTCAAGCCGCCACATTAAGCTTGTTTTTTCCTGTGTTTTCATAATTTTGTAAATCTTTGTAAAAGGCAGTAAACTTGTTAAATGAGTACTAGGTACTGTAGGTGTATGAATTGATTTTGCCAACTGTATTCTTATTTGGTGCTGCTTCAGTTTTATAATGAACAGTGTTGCTTGGCAGTCAAGAGGTTTGCCTTCCAGCAATTTTCTTGATGGAAAAAAGTCCACTCTTCAGCTCTTAAGCCAGGAACTGAATGCAGCCAATGTCGTCGGCCGACACGATTCTATAAAGAACGCTGAATGCGGCCAATGTCGTCGACCGACACGATTCTATAAAGAACGCCGAGGCACAGTGTGCGCGCTACGGATCGTTTTAATGACGATCAGTTCAAAGTGCAACCGACAGCAGACAGCGTTGCTTCGTCTAAGGCTCACAGGCAGTAGAGTTTGGTTGTATGATGGTGGTATGACAGCAGTGAGTGCCCAGCTTTATGCGCATTGTCCGAAATTATGGCTCGTGATTTTGGGGAAAATTATTGCGAGTTAAACATTTCAAATTTTCAGTATTTTAACAGTTTGATACATTACTCATCACTTCTATTATCTTTTAGCCATTTGCTCAGTCTTTCAAATGTTTTATGTAAATTGCCCCATTTTTTCTATGCTCAACTTTATTAAACTGAATAAAATTATTGATATTGACAAGAAGGTTTGAAAATATATTGATAATGACAATAAGGATATAACTTGTTTGTTAGTACAATGCAATAGCAATGTTACACTTTCAAGTTCCAAATGTAAGGGAAATATAAGATATTTCCCTAATTGATAATTAACATGTTTTACTGCACTTATGAAAATTGTAATTTTTATCTGTATAGTACTGATATTAGGTAAAAATTTAAGTAAGCCAAATGTATTTTTACAAACCACTACATTTTCAAACAGCTTCAGGTGAATGAACTAGTTTAGATGAAGCTTTTTCATATTGTCACTAAGTGATGCCATCCAATGATGTTCTTCCAGGGGCAGATCCAGAGTTGTCTGAAAGTGGGGGCTGAGAGTGAGACAACACTATCTTAGGGGTCCGGGGATGCATTCCCCCACAAAATGTTTGTCTTTTAGACGCCCGATAATAACTTCTGAGGTGTTTTGGGAGATCAATTATTTAATTTTCTTTCTTTCTTTTTCCTTTTTATTTTTAACTTTCCAAAATGAGGGCTGCTGCCGGCCTGGCCCTCCCCCCTCTAAATCCGCCCCAGTCTTCCTTTGGCTTACAAGAATGTCACGTTGATTGATTGATTGATTGATTGAGATCGTCTCTGAGGCCCTAGATTTCATAGGGGTCTGCATTTGAATCCATATACAGTTAACCACTTGTATAGTTTGTTGATTTTTTCTTTAAACATAGTAATAATGATGTTTCTGTATTCATGTGGTGATGCAGTTGTAGGTCCTGTGTCCAGGGATAACAGAATCCCCTTGGGGAACCATGGACCCGTCAGCGGAGAAGCCAATTATTTTGTGGGGGAAGACTGCTTTTTAAAAAGCATTTTTACTGGGTGTGTCATTTCCAGGCATTTAGAGGTATCTTTTTAAAATTTGCCCAAACAACAATGGAGCCGGTGTGAACTTGGACCCCCTCCCCCTTTGACCTCTCCTCGGGGGCCCTAGTCATGGAATTGCTAGTGCTGCATCTGTTGTGATGATCAGGTTATGTTTGTGAGTGAATTTGATGTTACCGGAGGAGTCTGTTGGTTTATACCTAGCTACCTTCTTTACTTGGGGCCCCTGAAGAAGTGATTGTAACACCAGTATGTCTGCCCTTTGATGGCAATATGAACTATCATCTGTATTATTTACCAAACAATGATCAGCAAAGCTGATCCAAAGTGTAGTGGTATGTAAAAATACTTTTTGGCATATTTTACCTATAATAATCTGTTAAAAGCCTAATGAATTTGTTTGAATTATTGTAGCTTTCTGGCTATGTTTTATGTACATAAATTCACAATACTGTATTGAGCAGTGGTATTGATGTTGAAGGTTTGTAAATTTTCAGCTATGGAAATAAAGTTGAAGGACTTCTATAATAATACTGTTGGTGTTGGTGTTTTTATTGAACAGATTGTTAACAAATAAAGGCATGTAGATGGGTCACTTTGAGTCCGCGTAAACCATTCAAATTATAGCACGTGAACTGTAACATCTACCAACACAGGTTGCTTGTTTTCATTTCGAATGTGGCGGATCCAACAGAAATCAAGTTAAAAGGGGCTCAAATTAGAAATACCGTAATGTTAATGAGGTCTTGTTTGAACCTGTTCTTCCATGAAAACTAATGTCGCATATTGTTGTCGTAATGGAAATTTCCCAAATGTAAAAAATGTATTTGTGTTATCGAGTTTTTATGTTGGACTTTGTGATAATAATAATGATAATAATATGTTTATGTCACTTTTAGATGGCTGAAAATATCACTCTCAGACTTAGGCCCCTAATTTTGAAAATAATTTTCTTTTTTTCTCAATTATTTTATCATTTTGAAAAGTTCAGAGGAGGCCCTTGAATCAAACACTGCTTTCTAAAACAGCAATTGTAAAAATGTACCTGTAGCATATTTTTATTTTTTTTATTTTTTTATATTTAATTCCTAGATAACAATACAAAAAAAACATAACAATGGGAATACAGTACCCTGAGGGTTACCATGGGTGAAAGCACTATCAGAGCGGTTCTTCATATTGCATCCTTGCATATAATAAACATTAAAATCATCTCAAACTTCGATATAAAAATGAAATGCTAAAATTTTAACCAGTAATCTATCGTGAATTTGACTATATAGCCCTCAGAACCAGAACCATAAGAGAATATTACAAAAAAAGAAATGGGAAATAGGATGAAATTCACGAATTACCAAATATTCCTAAAACAGTCGTTGCTGAAGTGCCTGGGCTCCTACAACTTTCTCGCCCCAGGGCCTTATGGCTTGCCGTTACACCATAGAGAAAATAGAATGTTCTATTTTCTCTATGGTTACACCAATGGTCTGAGAAATAATGAATTTCACGATAGACTACTGGTTAATAGGCCTATGTGAATTTAGTTCCCCTTTATTTTTAATTAATTACAATAAACAACTTTGTATTTAATACAGTCTTGACAGTCTTAAAAAGTGGACCTGTTACGATTGAAGTAGTGGGGAAAGTGGTTGCTGCATGCGTCCCATCCCACCCACCCCATGTTCTATGCTGTAGAACAGCTGCAGCATTTTTATTCTACTTTGCGTCTATCTACGTTCCTCATCCCCCTCCCCATCGGGTAACCTGGCGCCATCCCTGCTTCTTTTAGTAAACGGAAATAGCACTCTCAAATTTAAAATTTGAATAATACTTTCTTTTTATTTCCATTTTTTTAATTACGGAAAATGTAGGTCAGCTTCCCTTCCCCCACCCGAATTTTTACACCCCTGAAACAAGATGGAATATCCCATCTAGGGCAGTCTCTCTCTGCGATTGATGTCGATCGTGCTTCGATAACTGGACTGGAAGGAAGTCGGCACTTACTCGCCATGTGTTTGAACTTTATAACAATTATGCAATCTTATTGAGTGTGTGTGTGTGTGTGTATAGAAGGCATATGTGCAGTTCGTCATGTTTAAAAACTCACCATATATCAAAAAAAATGTTAGTATTATAGGAATCTAGGATAATCGGCCTAGGCCTAAGTAGAATTGTTAGAATCCTAGTTAGGCCCACAGATTTTGTGCTGGTATTGGAGCAGTCCAATGGCCAAGCGTGGTGGGTACCGCCTGCAGATCTGACTTATGAAAGCTGCTACCAAGCCTAGCACAATTTACCTAGGGCCTCGGCTTATTTAAATCAAGCTAAATATTTATGTCTATGAGAGGTGGAAGCAGATTGGTGGTGAGGGGGGGGGGGGGTGGAGTTGGTAGGAGCATAAAACAACTTCCTGGTGGTAGTAGGTGGGGAAGAAGGACCGGGCTACGTAGCGCCTAGGCCTAGTCCATGTCGAACAGATGAAGTCCATATTATACTTTCATTGCCTAGCCTGTGCTATGTGGCCAGTGCAACCGTTCTAACGTAACACTGACAGTTCCTTGCGGGAACCTTTTAGTTTTATTTTCTTTTCCTGCTACAGTAAAACTAGACTAGACCAAAACTTAGTGCAACACGATTTTTCATTGTTTCCCAGACACTTAACACAATTCATTCCTTAACACAATTCACAGTACAGTATTTGGAAGTGACTGAGCAGATGTTATATAATAGGCCTACTTCTGTTTTACTGCTTTCTATCAAAGAACCAGATGATTTTTATCAAACTCATAGCTTACGCTGTGATTGCTATGGTAACAACCATGGTAGCAGCTCAACATCCAGTTCCAACCACCAAAATTACCAACATTGTGGTCGCAGGTGCTACTGGAGACCTTTCTCAGCGGTATTTGTGGCAAGGCTTTTTTAATTTATTTGTTGGTAAGTTTGTTAATATATTGTGTGTGTG